GCGAGGGGTGGGGGGGGGACGTGGGGGGTAAGGAGGGGACACGAGTGGTGAGGAGGGGACACGAGGGGTGAGGAGGGGACACGAGGGGTGAGGAGGGGACACGAGGGGTGAGGAGGGGACACGAGCAGCGAGGAGGGGACACGAGCAGCGAGGAGGGGACACGGCGGGGGAGCGGGTCCACCCCGGGGCAGGGCCCGGCCTCACCTGCTGCGAGAGGGTGAGGAATCGGACGAGCCAGCGCCGGTACCATGTGCCGGTGTCCGACTGGATCTCGATGAGTTCGTCCTCCCGCTTGATGGTCTTGATGTGGGTGACCTGCGGGGTATGGCAGGGGGACGGGGACAGTTTGGGGACACTGGGCATGGTGGTGAGTGCCCCGATGGCGAAGACCGAGGGGAAGGCGCAGACCAGGACGAAGACCCTCCAGCTGTGGAACTGGTACGCTGAGCCCATCTGGAAGCTCCAGCCTACGGAGATGGGACAAGGACATGGCGATGGTGCTGAGACCCACCGAACTCGCTGCATGCTCCGGCACCCGGAGGTTCTTACCATAGTGGGGGATGATGGCCCAAGCCATGGCGGAGGCGTAGATGCCCCCGATCATCCAGAACATGCAGAGCCAGCTCAGGTGCTCCCCACGCTTCTCCTGCGCCAGGAACTCCGAGAAGTAGGAGAACACGATGGGGATGGAGCCACCGATGCTGGGGGAGGGAGGGCAGAACGGTGTCACCGCCCGCCCCGGCATCCCCACCGCTGTGGGAAACGGGGGGGTTCGGCACGGGGAGGGAATGGGAGGGAGCTCAGCCCCCCAACACGGGGGGCCCGGGTGCCCTACCCGGCGCCTTGCCCCCCTTACCCCACGCCCGAGAGGAGGCGGCAGAAGAGGAAGGTGCCGTAGCCTTGGACGAAGGAGGAGAAGAAGGCGAAGACGCTGTTGACGGAGAGGGAGATGAGGAGGCACTGCCTTCGGCCCAGGCGGGCTGGCCGCACTGTCCAGGCACGCGATTAGCCCTGGCGGGGGGGGACACACACGACAACGTCAGTCCTGGGGGACCCAGAGAACCTGCACCCCAAGTCACCCAGTGGAGGGTGACAGCGCTCTGGGCAGGGGGGCCATGGGGGTGGCGGTGTCCCCCCAGAGCACCTGGGTCCCCTCGCAGGGAGGGGGCACTGCCCCCCATGTATGTATGGGGGGGGACACGGTGACGTCAGTCCTGGGGGACCCAGGGGACCTGCACCCCGAGTCACCCAGTGGAGGGTGACAGCGCTCTGGGCAGGGGGGCCATGGGGGTGGCAATGTCCCCCCCCCCGAGCACAGCCAGGGCACCTGGGTCCCCTCGCAGGGAGGGGGCACCACCCCCATGTATGTACGGGGGGGTGGATGCCTGGGTTGTCCCCCTGCTCTGCTTGGGGACCGTGGGACGGGGGGGGCAGAGGTGCCCGCAGCCCCAGCCGGCTCCCCAGGGCCCCCCCCGCCCTCCGCAACCCGCCCCCAACCCCGCCC